GATGATGGATTATAGTAAAACATTGTAAAATGATAAGGAATCGATAGTTTGCAATGTTTCTGATTTCAATATAACTTATTTATCAAGTTTATAGAACTTAATTTTAATAACGCTGTGTTCAACAACCAGATTGCAAAATTCCTAAAAAATTAACAATTAGCTCTGCCCAGCCCATGTGTGCCTCCTGGGTAAAAGAAAGAACCTATCTGGTATCAGATTCAAGACCTGTTCACTACCACACAAGTTAAGTCCACCTAATTTAGTTTTGTAAGGTTGTTTCCTCACATGTAAAGTGGGGTAAGAACCCCTGCCCCTCAGAGACTGAGAAGATCAGAGATAGTGCACACAATAGGATCTCAGTAATGGCTGCCATTGTCCCTGGGACATACCAGAATTTTAGATTTGAGGAAAATTTCAAGTACAGACCAGTGTTTCAGAAAGACCCCTCTCCAAGAACATGATGAACTTTGGAAAGCTGGGAGGTGATGCTGGGCAACCAATTTAGACATTATTCCCCAAATAAGCTCATACACCCCTTGTGCAACACACATGATTTTAGGTAGTATGTGGCTAGTTATTTTTGTTTTAATAACTTTACAATTTAGAAAATTTTATTCTATATATTTATAATAAGAAGACATTGGTTTTCTATTCATTTCAAACACCTCGTTGTTTATGTGTTTGTGTGTATATACATATATATGTACAAATTTGTATATATGTATACAAAAGTTTCCTTTCTAATTACACTTACATATGCCAGAATGGGAAGAAGTTTCATTTAAAGAGTAATGTTTAGTAAATGATAAAACACAAGGTGAGCTAATATTATGGGGGGAAAAAAGTCCAAGCGTCTCATAAATGAAGGAAGTTTAGGGAATAGTGGGACAAAGGACCACTGGGGAACAGACGGCCTGTACAGGGCAGAGGACAGGAGACGGAAAGCAATCAGTGGAATCCAGACACATCTCTGCTACAACACATTGTACCAGATCGTCTGGGGTGACTGAATTGTCAGGGGACAGTCAGGGGTGGTGTGAGTTGGGCAATAGAAAGTTAAGATCTCAGTTCAGAGCCTGTGACCCAAAGGGACTTGATGTGAGCTAAATCAATTCAAGGACTGTGCCCATCCAGGGTAGAGGACAGAACCTTCCTAGTGAAAGATGCTGCCGGTGGTAATTCCAGATTGCAGGGGACATCACAGTCTGCCTCTGTCCCCTCTTCAGATGATGCTTCAGTGGGAGCCACTCCCTTGGAAAATGAGTACCATTCTAAAAGGGAAAATTGAGGGTCCTTGCAGAAAAATCCAGGAACAAGAGGGAGAAAAGGACTTAAGCAAGAAAAACGCGTGTGTGCCCGCACATGCAAATTTATGCAAGGAAACAGGGAATCAGTAAGACCTTCCCTAGACTGATTTTCCAAGTGCCAACCTGGCCATTTCCCTCTCCTGCTAACAATCCTTTCACGGCTTCCCATTACTCCACTTAGCCTTGTCGCATACCTGTAAGCCCACTTTCCTGGAGAGCAGGCTGCCTCCCCTCTTCACGCTCTGGGCTCCCTCCCCAAGTTCTGGCCACACTGGCCTGGATTCCCTTTCCCACCCCAATGCTTCCATTCCTGCAGCTCCTTCTGCCTGGTTGTGCATGGACTGCACTCTTCCAATGCCCACTTCAGGTCTCAGCTCATTTATTCCTTCCTCCGAGAAGGAATCCCATTCTGAAAGGAGGGCAGGACAACAAATTACAACCTTTATGATATCCCTGAACTCTCCTTCATGGCCTCGACCAGAATGTGCCCTCCTGGATAACTATTTGATTAGCATCTGAATATCTATATGGGCTGGAAATTCACCCAGAAAAGAGAGTCTGGTGAATCTGTTCACCTTACACCCTAGGCAGTTAGGTAATAGAGAAATAAATGATTAGGCTTAACTCTTACAAATTACTCAAATATGATCTTGTCCATTCAAGTAGATTTGTCGAACCTCTATTTTGCTCCAGGGTTTCTTACAAGGTCCAGAAAAAACTAGGCTGAAAAGTCCCAGTCCATGACCCAGAGTTCAAAGTCTGGCAGAAGATATGAACCAAGGCACTAAAATACATTGTGTCTGCATTGAATGGACTTGGATGGTGATCAAAGTAGGTAAAACCTTAGCGGAAGTTAATAGAGCTCTGCTAGCTATTGTTTCATGTAGCAATAAGCTTCGTCAGATCCTGTATCTTTAACACTGCCTCCCTTCACCTTTGGAAATCACTCTATGCTCCTTTGGTCAAGGCCTATCCATCACAGGCACCCATTGTCAATAACGCCAAATTCTTCCTAAAGAAAGTTAAGAGACCACAGCTATTTATGTCCTGTTTGTGTGTCTTGAAAGTGTTTCTAAATAAGTTTTGACTTCAAAATTTATTTTTTAATTGGAGAGAGAGTATCAGAATTAAGAATGCAAATGGTTTGGAGTTTTCCCTATTAGAAACCTCTTCTCAAAGTCATGTTTTTATCTGAGTCTTCTCCATGTGTGTAACTTGTACGATTAGCATTTGCACCTCACCTTGAGGTCCCAACTGGATCTTTCTGATAAACCCGACTCATATTTCCACAGTGAGAAAGCCCAACCTCTTTGGATAGAAATAAATAAATAAAATTAAGTTTCCAAACTATTAAAGATCCAGAAAGTTTCCAAACTATTATTACAGATAGGAAGTAACCTACCAAAATCTTCAAGTCAGTCCCCAGGTCCAGACTCTGAGCTCTTTCCAGCCACTTCATGTTGCCTTGGTAACTCACACTGTTCCTTAACCGCACTTTGGTTCTCTGGGCTTCAAAGGCAAACCACGGAGCTCTTAATCCATTTTCCAGTCAAGGCGATCTCCAGCAAAAGACTTGTCATTTGCCATTCTCAGTAACTCCAAAGACCCTGTCACCCCTTCCTTGTTTTGTATTTTCTATGTGACACATCCAATTCACAAAACATGTACAAGTGACCACTTGGATGTCATGGTCAGTATCAGCTGAAGAAAAAGAGGTTAAATATTTTTGTGATTTTTTTGTTTGGATTTGGGGGGTTTTCTTTCTTTCTTTCTTTCTTTTTTTTTTTGCCCAGTAACTTCACTTCCAAGAATATACCCCCGTAGGAAAGTGACCACAGATGTATATGAATTCCTAGGCTTATAGCTAAAGGATGTTCACTGATAATTTGTGTATCTTGAAGAAATTTTGGAAACAAGTTATATTCATTATACTATGTCCTTACTAGATTATGTGACCATTAACAGTGTTGTGGATAGAGCCAGGCGCAGTGGCACATGCCTGTAATCCCAGAGGCTCGGAAGGCTGAGGCAGGAAGTTTGCAAGTTCAAAGCCAGCCTTACCAAAAGCAAGGTGCTAAGCAACTCAGTGAGACCCTGTCTCTAAATAAAATACAAAATAGGGCTGGGAATGTGGCTCAGTGGTCGAGTGTCTCTGAGTTCAATCCCCGGTAAACTCACACAAAAACAGTGATGTGGATGGACATTTAATACCAATGAAAGACACAGCAGTGGATTATTAATGTGAAAACTCAGATTATAAGACAAGATGTACAATATATTTTGTTTCCTGTTTTTTTAAAGTTTATACTTACAGACTAAAAGTTCCAGAAAAATAAATGTCTGATTGTTAGTGATAGTAAATTCTAGGTTTCATAAGAGCTCATTCTGATGAAGAAAATGCATCTATAAAAAATATATAAATATATCTGCAAATATTTAAATTGGGAGCTCAGAAGGGTTATGGAATGCAGAAAAGAAAAGAAGCAAAACATTGAAGGAAAAGAAACTCAAGGGTGTATTTGAGAGCCCCTCATTAGATATATAAGACTCCAGGCTAATAACATTTGTGAATGGCATGAGTGTTTTTAGGAACTATGAGAGACGTAATCCATGAAGCAGAGAAAAGTAACACCTGGTGCAGAAAACATCACATCACTCCAAATCTAAGAAGTGACATCTAGCAGCAAACCCTGGGAGGAGAATTTCCATGTGCATTTCAAGATGCTTTAGAGGCGGTCTTTTATGCTGTTGTGTTCAGAGGAATGTGGCAAGGTCTATATTGCTTTTCTAAGTTCATGGAACACCACCCTCTACGCCCCCCCTAACCAAGCCCACACTAGAAGACAGAAATGGTGAATTGACTTTTATTAACTCCAACCCCCAAATTGTGCCCCTGATGTTAAAGGGAAGATTTAAGTGTGAGCCACTGAGGCACCTAGAGAACCTAGTGTGTGGGCCACATGGAGAGGGAGCTTTGGGTCCATGGTACCCCAAAATAAAGCACATGGGAAATCTCTACTGAACATCAGTGCCAACTTTCAGATTGTCCTTCTGTTTTCAACTCTGGAACAGGTGACTGAATTTTAGACAGGATCTCCATGGGCTTCATGGTTGTTATGTAGAGGCCAGAGTTATTTCTGGCTGTTTCCAACCCTTCTTGTACACATCAGTTAAATGACTAATCAAGGCTTGATATAATGTTAAGGATTTATATTTCAATAAAGTCAAAAAGCTGAGCTGATACTTGCTCACTCTCATTAACTAAAGCATTTGTTTTCTAGCTGGGAAAAATTGGGGAGAGAAATTGCTCCCAAAGAAGCTTGGAATCCCTTGATCCTGCTAGCCTGCACCTTCATCTTCTCCCTGAATTGATTCTAAGATGTAAGAAAAATTCAGTTTACTGAAAGCCAACTCATTGTAAATATCATACATATAAGTTAATTGAAATTGGGGTTTTAATCTAACTTTTATTAGCAAGTAATAAGAACATGAAAGATGGTGGAATAAGATGGACATCATTACCCTAAATACATGTATGAAGACATGAATGGTGAGACTCTATTTTGTCCAACCAGAGAAATGAAAACCTGTGCTCCATGTGTGTGCTATGAATTAAAATGCATTCTGCTGTCATGTATAAAAGAATTATAACAAAAAAATTAATTAATTAATTTAAAAAATAAAAACATGAATTAGGGTATCATTAGTTGCTATTATAAACAAATCCCCAAAATGTATGATGTCCCAACACAACCGAAATGTTCACAAATGTAAAATCCAAAATGGGGGGGGGGGGGGTGTTCATCAGCAATTGGTCTTCTTCCTGGTTCCAGAAAACAGGTGCCTCCTTCTTGTGGCTTCGTCATCTTCCACAAGAGACTCCCAAAGCTATGGCACATCCGAATCCACAAGAAGATGGTAGTCTGAAAAGAATGTGTGAGACCATGAGAGAGCTTTCTGTGCCAGACCAGAAAGTGGGCCATGTCCTTTCCAGGCACAGACTATTGGTCAGAATTGATCACATGATCACAACTAATGCAAAGGAGGCTGGGAAATGTAGGCAGTGTTCCCAGGAAGACAAGGAAGCAGTGTGGTATGTCTCCAGATAGGCACATAAGTTTGGACCAGCCGCAAGAACAACAGAATGGCAGTTTTCAAAGTGCATCATGGAAGCTGGAGAAGTGAAGCCCCATCTCTTAGAGTCTTAAATGGAATAAAGATTCAAGATGTTCTGCCAAACAAATAAACAAAAAAATTTAACTGTCATCATGGGACTTTTCTTTCTAAGAAATGAAATGGATACATTTTAGGGAGAAACAAGGGGATTGATGGGGGGGTCATCAAAATAACATCAATATTAGTCTTAAATTTTCATTTCCATAAGTCACCTTTCTCATGTAGTGCAGCTAATCTGGGTTTCACCTATGCAGGTAATAAACTAAGGCTATTAATCAGTGATATTTTGGTATTGATTATCTTAGTGAATCCCTCCTCATCAAATATTTTACCTCAGACTAAATTGATGTCTCATGATAGAAATAAAAGGAAGGAAGGGCAGGAGGGAGGGAGGAAACATGTCCCTCCCTCTGTGCGCTGCAGGCCCTCTCCTTCACTGGATAGCTATACTTGGCTTTTAAAAGCTGCCTTCCTCCTCTACTTACAGGGACAAAAAGCAGCTCTGAGGAGGAAACCCAAGAACATTCAAAACCAGGTTACAACTCCCTTTAGTAATTTGATTCTGTAAGAAAATATGCATGTGAACAAATTATCTTCAAACTCCTGCAAGAAGAGGTCCAGTGCTCATGGAAATTCAAATTTATTTCAAATGTGGAGGAATTCTTGCATGAAAGAAATATTTCTGATTTCTTTCAGTAAAACCCTTAACTCTAATCAAAAGCCAAACAGACGGGCATTTCTCTCTCTCTCTCTCTCTCTCTCTCTCTCTCTCTGGTGCTAGGGATGAACCCAGGGGTACTTAACCACTGAGCCACATCCTCAGCCCTATTATTATTATTATTATTTTTTGAGACAGGTTCTCACTAAGTTGCTGAGGCTGAGTTTGAACTTGTAATCCTCTTGCCTCAGCCTCCTGAGCTGAGTGCACCATGACACCCAGCTAAACTGACCTTCTTTATGTCACGGGTGCAGAGTGAAGAGATGAATAGCTTAGACTTCTCCATCATGCGTGTCTGTCTGGAACAAAATGTGCACACAGCCTCACCCCTGCAGTCAGAGCTATTGTTAGAGAAAGGTAAACACTGAAGCTCCAATTCCCTTGATCGCATATTTTAAGTACGGTCTGATGTCCATAAAGGTACACGAAATAGATAAACACTGCTAATTCAATCAAGCACAACTAAGACAGAAGTTTTATTGTAAATTTTCAGGGTTAGAGACGTGTTCATAGTTTTGGAATCAATGACTGAATTTCTGACCTCATTTTAAAGGAAGTGCTCTTAATTTTAGAAAAAAAAATTAAAATTTTTGTTGTAGAACAGTTTATTACAGGAAATAGAAATAGTTGGAATTGGTTAAATTAATTTAGCACATAGAATATAATGATGATGTTTAAAATTATGCATATACTATCAAAGGTAAATGGCTCCATTCATATGCAAATCATTACAAATTGTTTATTAGCAAACTGACTTTTTCAAAGCTCTAGCACAAAAGTGTGAGCCTCCTCTTTAAGTGAATATATTTCTATGTACTTGTTGAACAGCTGAAATACTGTGTCTCTGTTTCTAAGGTTGGAGCGTTTTAATTACTTTGCTTCTGAGAATGGGTTGAAATTGAATTTAGGTATCACTTTGAAAATGATGTCATTTTGCAATAACCTGGAGACACGTTCAAAAGACAATCTTAGGTGAAAGATGCAGGAAAGAATATTGTTAGAACAGTTTGGCAACAAGTTGAAAACATTTGAATGGAAAATAAAATCTTTCCCCATGGTTTGCCTCCTTTCAGAGTTTCTGCAAGGAAAAAAAATCAAATAATTCTTTGAGAAAAAAATGCATAAATACATATAAACTTAGGAATCGTCGCCCCTTTGATCTCTCTACCTTCTCAGCTCCCAAACTGCAAGGATCATTTAGGTTACCTGAAGCCTGACCTCGGCCAGCTGGCTGCACAGCTTCCTAGGACTCTCAGCGAACATCATTCCCAGTTTGTTGGAGGCCCTCCAAAGGCTGACTTCCACTTCCAAAGCGTCTAGTTAGGTCTTCTCTGCCAGAAGCACATCACAGGCAGCTCAGATGGTGATGCTGGTGATCAACTTAGAAAAGAGATGCAGACAGGAATTACATTCTGCCCACTCTGTAGTTCTCCTTTCAACTGGTTCTAGAAAGAATTTCTCAGAATGAGGAAATTTGCGGCAGCGGAAGGATTAGTATTTTCCTTTCCCCAACTCTTTATTTATTTTTTTATTGTTGTTCTTATTGTTAGTATTCGTACCAGGGATTGAACCCAAGGGTGCTTAACCACTAAGTCACCACATCTCAATGTATTTATGTTTATTTGACAGGGTCTCACTAAGTTGCTTAGAGCCTCACCAAGTTGCTGAGGCTGGCCTCAAACTTGTGATCCTCTTGCCTCAGCCTCCCAAGCTGCTGGGATTATAGGCGTGTGCCACCATGCCCGGCTTACTACTTTAATTTGAATGTACCATTTTCAAAAATACGTGGAGGGCATGCTGAGTCAAGTCTCTTTCTACCAGCATTCTCCTTACTACTCTCGGTGACAGAATGCGGTTTTGTTTCGTTTTCAGTGACAGTAGCAGGGAGCCTATCTGCCGTCAGAGCCTTCTAATCATTCTAAGAGAACATTTCTCTCTCTCCCCCCTGCATTTAATCACGTCCTCTGCCTCCATAATTAAAAATAACCGGTGTACGTCCTATTCAGGCAGAGATACAATGTCCCCTTTGTTCCCAGGGTTCTGAGGTGGGGACCCTTGCCATCTGACAGTGACACATCTCAAGAACCCTACTTGTCTGTGATTCAACTCGGGTCCTCAATTCCTGTCCCTCCCCTCCTCCACATACAGACATGGTGTTGGTTTTAGGAGTGTCAGGCCATTCATTCAGTCCATTGATATCTCTCGGGAACCCAAGAGCTGTCAGCAGTACATTAGCCACTGGGAAGGTGGCAGGGGACGTATGCCTGAAACAAACTTTTGCAATGAGTTAAATCAAAACCTCAACTGTCCAGAGTGCTAAGAGAGTGTCTTAGGACCTAGTTTAGTCTAAGGCGTTTCGTTCTTCAGTTTTTCCTCCCCTGGTACATTAGGCAAGGTCCAAAGACATTTCCAGTTGTTCCAATGTGAGGAGAAACGGGGAGACGAAGGGAGGGCTACAGACATTGAGTAGGAGGTAGGATGCTGCGAAAATCCTACAGTGCACAGAAGGGCACTAAAAGCAAAGAATTATTCAGCTTAAAATGTCAAGAATGTCAAAGATGAAAGCTCCTGGTGATCTTCAGTAAGCAAAGACTCACCTGCAGGGCTGGGCCCTTGCCTAGAGTTTCTGGTCAGTAGGTCCAGGGTGGGGACTGTGCAGTTGCATTTCTCACAAGTTCCAGGTGATGCCGGCATTTGGGGTGCAGGACCGTACTTGGAAGAAATATCCTATGGACTCTTAGAGGAGGAATCTCTGAGAAAATGATGTGTGAAAGTTCAGCAGGAGTTAGCTGGAGAACAAGGGAGAAGATCAAATTTTGCAGGCAGTTTATGGGAGAAGCTCAGAGGTGTGAGGTTGTGGCATGATCAAAGCACTGAAATCAAGGAGGATGGGGTTGGATGGAGCTGGAGAGGGACCCAGAGCCAGATTGCTCAAGGCTACAGTAGGATACTGATCTGTTGCCTAAAGGCAAAAGAAAGACACAGAAGAAATTCTAGCAGGGAATTGGGGCAACTTGACCAGGCATTTAGGGTATGAAGGAGGAGTACGGTATGTTTTCTACAGTTCAATATAATAAAAGGGCATGGCTTTTACAGCCAGGCAGTCCTGGATGCCAGTTGTAGCTCAGCCTTTTATATGATCTAGGCAAATTATTTCACTTCCATGAGCCTCAGTTTCCTCACCTATAAAATAGGAACATTCAGACCTAGTTCCCCGGATTGTTGTGGGAATAAATGAGATCACGTTCATAAAAGTGTCTGGCACACAGGAGGACTCAATGAATGTTAATTCCCTTCTATTAAGTGCGAGACATGAAAGGACAAGGGGCTCCTCCAGCGCCTCATTTGCATCTCAAAGAGAACACAGCCAAGCGTTCTGTCCACAGAGCTCTTGCATCACCCGTGTGTGCCAAGCCTGTGCCAGGGCCTGCTGCTGGCATGTCTTAAGTGCAAATTAGGCGAGTGCCTCCCACACAAAAATGCTTCGAAGCTAATGCTAGGTTTGCAGATACCATCACAGAGCTCAGGCCAACGTTACCTAATTTATAGATGTTTGGATACTTCAGAGGCCCTTTTACCATTTCCCTTATTGTTTTGTAGCCTGACAATGGGGAGGAGAAACAGCGTTTGGAACCACAATAAATAATACTACTTAGCGTTAAATAACATTTGCCATCTTCAAAGCCACTTACAAACACTCACAAATTAAGATGCACCCAGCCCCAGCCTTGGGAAAGTATCATTATCTCTGTTTCTTCAAGCCAGCAAAGAGGATGAGGTCATTGGAGTTGCCCAAACCCTGTGGCCAGTTGGTTAGAGACGTGGGCTGCTTTAGTTCAATCCAGACATCCCAAGCGGGTCCATTCCAGAACATTCTGGTCATTTCCCAGGAATGAGGGTAGTGCGAAGTCTTTGGGGGGAATGAGTTCCACTTTTCAGGAACCTCCTGTGAATTTGGGTGGGTGCAGCTATGCCCAGCACAACCTGAGCTAAACTTAATTGGGAGCATTGCTGTCAGCCAACAAGGTTGCTAGGACAGTTTCCCAACTCATCCCCTGCCACCTCCCAGAAAACTGAGCAAAATGTCAGGATCTCTCTGTGTGCTGAATAATTACATAATTAATGATAAGATCTCAGAGTTTCCTCATCTTCCAACTGGAGTGGTAATGACCCACAGGGTATCTGCGAAGGCACCGTATGCAGAAAGCCTGGTAGGGAGGTAGGTAATTGATGCAAGGAAGATTTCTTTATCAGTGTGTGTTTGACGTCATGGCCTTTGTGTTTACACCACTACAGAAAGTGTTCATAACAGGTCTTTTGTAAAGAGAAGCAGGTAATGTCACCCTCTCTGGAAATGTGGGCCAGAGAGGAAAAATGAACTCACTCAAAATCACCCAGCCGTTGGCCAATGGAGCAAAAAGGAGCCGGTGAGCTGTTTGCATTCTCTCTCTGTCTCCACATTCCATGAAAATAATGACATCTGCGTCCTCCCCTCCTGAAACTCCACACCAACCCAAGAGGTATTTATGAAGTCCCCATCACGTGCCAGACACTGTGAGCAGGGTCTGTGGAATATCTGGCAGGAGTTTGTCCTCAGTTGAGAATGATGAGTGCCACCTACATCAGCTGCTTCTCAGACCCTGAGGTTGAGAAGGGGCCACTTAGAAGGGCCACTGCCAGAATTTGGGATTTGGGAAATGCCAACCATCCCCAGCCTCACTCCTGCTTCCACACCTAGGTCAGCAAAGGATGATGTTCTAGAAACACTCGGAGACAACTGGATAAATTCCATTTGTCTCAGGATATAAGACTCTTTTGTTAAGATGCCTGGAAGTTCTTTAAGCTTACTTCAAGTCAGATGATATTTTCCAGCATGTTATATGGACAAAACGTCCAGGCTTTGGGATCAGATAGACCCAGACTCGTACCTCACATTAGCCTTACTTTGTTCATCATAACAGCAGAAATGGGTCTTTCTGTCAAATAGAAATTGCAGAATGTTGATGGAGAAGGAGAAAATGAACATTAAGTGCTTAGCACAAAGCTGGGTACATGGTAGCTCTCCATAAACAGTAGCTCTGGTTATGATCATACTATTGTCTATGCTATTATTATACTGTTATTTCTCATTGGTATTATCTAAATATTGTACTAAATCTGAATGCAAAATTTGGCATTGATTCTGCTTATATCTGTCCTGTAGATGATCTTAGTTAGCTAAGGTAACAGAAATAGAGTCTTCAAAATTAACACATTTATCCACAAGCCACCTCCAGAGAGTATTTCTTTTAATTTTGGTAATTTTTTCCTTATTTCAATTGGTCATTGCTCATTTCATGACTGTCAGTAGTTAGAAGAAGCTAGCTCGAAGAAACAGAGTTTTTAGAATCAGAGAATGAGCCGAATTTCTGCTCCTTAATTAAGGCTGTGTGATCTTGCAGCCCTGCCAGGACTCTCTTTATTTATAAAATAGGAATAGCAGCCTCCATGGGTTATTGAGGAGTCAATGAAATAATAATATTTATTAAATATGTGGCATTTTGCAAATGCTATTAAAATACTTTTACTATTCTGAAAATATTGATTTCTTCAGTTAACAAGAAACTGGAAAGCAAATTAGTAATTATTTCATAAATATTGTTAGTTGGATAAACTCTTTTAAAATAGAGGGAAATAATGGGTTAAATGCCTGGGGCAACAGGTGGCAAGCAGCCAGTGTGTCATCATTCTTAAACACCTACCCTGTGCCATGCAAACCCCAGGACATTGATTCATACCATGGTCCTCCTATTAAGTGCATGGCTCCTGATCCAGACAGACCTGGGTTCAACTCCTAGTTCTACGGCCTCTTAGCTATGAGTCTTTGATGAGCTGTTTCATCTCTCTGGGCCTCGGCTTCCTGATCTGCAGGTGCGATAATAAGTATCACCTACCTCCCTGGGCTTTGGAGATTATGCATGTGAAAAGCACAGACCACAGCCCTGAGAAGCAGCAGGCATTCTGCACATGTTCACTTCCACTGTTAAACACCAAACAGAAAAGACAGCTCGGTTAGCTTCTCCATACCAGCACTTTAGAGAGTGAATCGCTCATCTCTGGCAGAGCAGCAGTAGTGAGAATGACACACTGAGGTGCTGGCTGGCTGGAGAGGCAAAGGTGTGCACTCCACGTCCTGAGGTCCTGGAACCGAGGGCAAGAGATGGGTGCCCAGGCTAAGAGCCATGCTGGGTGGCATTATACTGCCTGAAATGTGGCCGAGTGTAGGATGATCAGACACCCCAGTCTATGCAGGTGTGAGAATTATCTATTGATGTATTTCAAACCACCCCAAATTAGTGGCTTTAGACAACCCCATTTTGCTCAGGTACCTGCAATTACAACAGGGCTTTGGGGGGGGAGGACATAAAAAAGGAGGAGAGAGAGAGAGAGAGAGAGAGAAAGGGGTGGGGAGAGAGATGCGGGGGAGAAGGAAGGAAGGAAGGAAGGGAAAAGGAAAAGAAAAGAAAGAGGGAAGAAGAAAGAGAAGGGGAGGGGAAAAGGAGATGATTGATGATAGATAGATGATAATTGAAAATTATAGGATGTACGGGGTTTGCTTGAACTTGCTTGAAGAGAGAGATGGAAATCCCTCACCCTTATTCGTGCAGGGCCTGGAGGTTGCTGACATCCTTTCTAGCTCTGTGACCCTCCCCAGGGAACGGGCATGGTGTGATTAACATTCCCTTTTCCCAAGACTAGTGGTGCTAGCTTTCATCTCTCGGTGTTTATAAATGCCTTTGAAAATGGAATGTGCCACATATACACACAAGGCTATTATTAATATGGTGTCCAAACACCTCTCTCCACATGATAGTTAAGGAACAAAGCATTCGGGTTGTAAGTATGCGAGTAAGCACGCGTGTGTGCACACACCCCAATTAAGAAATATTCTTTATTCTCACCCTGCCTTGGGAGACACACCAGAATATCTCACAAGAGTTCAGATGAGCAGAATTGGGACCACATAAAAGCTCCAACAGAGAATTGGGTGATAAAATCTGGGAATAATTAATGAGCCCACTTTTTCCAGAGCTCCTGCTTGCTGCGAGAGCTAAGCACTATGGAAAATGAAAAATTTAGGGGGTACAGGGTCCTACAACGGGGTACAGATATGACAAGGACATTGGCCTGGATTTTAAGAAGCTTACTCGTCAAAGATGGACTTAATGGTAAGCTGAGCAGGTCCCAAGTGGAGAAAACCCACCAGGGTTGAGCAGGGAATGAGGGAAGAGAAGACTCTACTTGTAGAAAAACAGAGGTAAGTTGTTTTTAAAGTTTGCTGTAATTGCAAAAGACATGGGTCTAAAGCATTTTAATTTTTGATCCTTGAGTAATCCAGCAAAATTCACGAATCCTCTCCCCAGAAAAATGCACATGCAAAGAAATTTTGTGTTAAGCATGTCACAAAGTTCACCAATTTTGTAAAGCCTGGTACTCCCTGGGCCCTCTTTTGTACCTATCATGGAATTGCAATGTTGAAGTTGTGAAATCAGCAAAGTCTGAACAGATTCAAAGCAATGATTAGATTTTCTCCAACTCTGTGCCCAGAGCATCATACCCAATGCCAGGTTTATCAAGCTCCTAGAATAAATGTTTGTTTAATAAATAAGCACTGAACTAAGGTATTTGAAAAGAAAACACAGATTCTTCCTTAAATTGTACCTTAAGAGGTCTTTTTAAAATTTATTTGATGTATTGATTCCGGGCCTGGAATAAAATATTGTTTGATGCTCTTCTTTCCCCCAAGGATTATCTGATGTTTGACCATAGGCTGAAGACCCAAGAACAAATGATCAAATGTATGAGTTGCCACAGATCATTTCAAGAACAAGGGAAGGTTGAAATATTTGCTCTCTTATACCCAAGGTAACACAGGATAAAAACCCATCTTGAAGAATATTCAGAGACCACCTTTCAACTGCAAAAAT